TACTGTGAGTCAAGGTCTTGTTAGTAGGTAGTAGCCCAGGCTAGCTTAGGTCAGCCTCTTGAGGTTATAAGCCAGCATTATCATACCCAATTTATTTTGTTTTGAGTCAAAGTACCACTAGGCTTCACTTCAAGCTGGTTCTGAACTACTAGCCTCAAATATCCTCATGCCTTAGCCTCCCCAGTCATAAACTACACACAGCACTGTGCCCAGCCATACACATTACCTCTATTTTTAATATCAGTAATGCCAAATTTGTAACTAATACCTTACATCAGATTATCATTAACCTCAGGATATTCTACCTTTTAAATACCTACTTTCCTCAAGATTAAGCTATGGCTCAGCGGTTAAGATCACATACGCCTGTACCAGAGTACCCAAGTCTGATTTCAAACCCCACATCAGGCTGCTCACAGCTGCCTGTAACCCCATCTCCAAGGGATCTAACACCTCTGGCCTCCATATGCACCTGAACTCCCATACACAGACACAGACACAGACACAATTTTTAAAAAATAAAAGGGGGTGGGGGCTGGAGAGATAGCTCAGCAGATAAAAGCACTTTTTCCAGCTAGACATGGTGGCACACACCTTTAATTTCAGTACTCAAAGGAAGGCAGAAGCAGGAAGATCTCTGTAAATTCAATGCCATCCTGTTCTACACAGCAAGCTCCAGGACAGTCAGGACTACATAGAGACCCGGTCTCAACCCTTCCACCTCCCCCATCAAAATTTGTTGTTCTTGCAGAACTTTGGTTCAGTTCTCAGCACCCACATGGTGGTTCATAACCATTCATAGGCCCAGTTCCAGGAATCTTCCAGCTTCTCCTGCCTTCTAGCCTCCTTAGGTACAAGGCATACACGTGGTACAAACATAAATGCAGGCAAAACATTCATAAAATAAAAGCACTTTTATATTTTGTAAAAAATAAATAATTTTTCTTTTGAGTTTTTCAAGACAGGGTTTCTCAGTAGCTATGGAGCCAGTCCTGGAACTCACTCTGTAAATTAAGCTGACCTCAAACGCAGAGGGATCCACCTGCCTTTGTCTCCCAAGTGCTGGGATTAATGGCATGTGCAACGTCCAGCAAATCAATAAAGTTTTAAAAGATTAAATAATCCTAGAATACTCGGTTATTCTACCTGAATTCTGAACTTCTCTCTCAAAGTAAGAGAATTCACGTAAGATTTCCTTGCTTTTTATGTATTATTATCTGGATAAGTTTAGGTGGCTAATCAGAATGTGGCTTTGATTATTACATAGTTATCTCTGTATATAGGCCAGTTAGCTTCAATTAACAGAAAGTTACAAAAAACTCCTGTAGCCCACCTCTTAGATCAAGATTTAGCTAGATCACATACAGCATACAGTAGTTCCCTTAAACCAACTGGGCAGTACAAGACCTCAGTACACACATGGAACCAGAAAACATGTATGTTTTCTCCTATATAAACATGTCTATGAATTTATAAATTAAGCACAGTAAGATTATCAATAATAATGGAGCAACATAACATACTGTAATGGAAGCTATGTGAATGTTATCTTTCCATTTTTTTCCTCTTAAAACATCTTATCTTTAACTTAAGTTTTTCTTTGGATAATCTGAATTGCTAGCTATATAAATAGGGATAGTTACAACTAAAATATCACAACAGTATATTTATCGGTCACAATTTGGCTAGTAAGCAACTGGTAGGCACAGAGAGTATACTGGACCAGCAGCTGACTCATGTCTAGGCCAGAACAATGGGACAGTACAAAATTTCATTATTCAAAATAATAAAAAAACTTAAACGTCTAAATCAGTGGCTCTAAACCTTCCTAATGCTGTGACTTTTTAACAGTTCCTCATGTTATGATAATCCCAACCATAAAATTACTTTTGTTGCTACTTCATCACTGTAATTTTGCTAGTTATGGATCACAGTAGTATTTTTGGAGATAGGTTTGGCAAAAGGGTTGCAACCCACATGTTGAGAACCGCTAGTGTAGGTTTCTTTCTGGAATTTTCCATCTAATATTTTCAAACCACAAGTGAACGATGTTAACTGAAACTACAGAAGGTTAAACTACTGGTGGGTCCTGTGTAGAAAGAATATTAAATAGAATACATTTCATCACTAGAATTCTAGGGTACATGAGAGTATCAACAGATGTTAGAGACTAAATTAACCACTTCTAGTGTACCTCAACAAAAGTGTTCTTGTCAATAAATGCTAAGCTGTTAATTCGTGCTCAATGTGTGGTCTAGCCACATACAAGGTGTAGGCCACCAAGTATACTATCAAACCATCTGGTTTACAGGCCTGGAGTAACAGGTCTATAATCCCAGCTACTTAAAAATCCTGGACAGGAGAAGTTCAAGTGAAGGCTATCCTGGGATACACTGCAAGCTCAAAGCCAATCTGAAAAAGTGAGTTGAAACCTTACAGCAAAAGGGGCTGGAGATGTAGCTCTGAATAGTGTTTGCCTACCATCTGTGAAGCCCTGAATTCAAATTCAAGTACAACAAAACAGAATTCATTGAACATAAGACCAAAGAGCCAGGAAGTGGAGTTGCATGCCATCAATCCCAGCACTCAAGAGGGAGAGGCAGGTCAATAAATGAGTTTGAGCATCCTGGTCTACAGAGCTAGTTCCAGGAGAGCCAGGGCTTCAGAGAAATCCTGTCTTGAAAAAGAAATAAAATAAAATAAAAACATCAAGATTACTTTGAAATTCTCTTTTTGTCTTCCAGTATTTTGGTTGCCTTTCAGATTTTATTTCACTATCACGCTGGGGAAAAATATAGATGAAGACAAAATCCCCCAGAGTGCTCTCCTGCCATGCTTTGACCACTGACTGGGTTCCATGAGTGCAGTAATGAGATCCCAGCACCTTGCTAAGATTATTATTTATTTCAGGAATGAACCATGTTCTCTAGTGATTTCAAAGCCACCATGATATAAAAACACAATGCACAAAATGGGAAGAAAGGAAGTCTTCAGTGTCAGGAGAGCTAAGTGCTCTTTTCTTTACAGACATGGGCTGTTAACCCTCAAGTCTCTTTGAAATGTTACCATTCTTTGTAATTGGAATTAAAGAGGAAAGGAGAAAAAAGAGCAGTTAAGCAATTTACTTTGAAGACAGTCACAATCTAAGTCTAACACTACTTTCTGCAACACAGAAGTTATTTCTAGGTTTATCAAAGTGTATGACTAGGAACATATTACAAAACTTCAGTTTCCTCATCTAGAAAATACCAAGTATTTATTTTAGAGCTTACCATACTACTGGCATTGGCAAAGTTAAAAAAAAAAATCAGTAATCAGTCAGATCTGATTCCCAAATTTCATGCAAATTATTACAATTTTCTATAGTTATCAACAGTTTCATGTAGATCAGGCTAGCCCTAAACAGTCTGTGGCTGAGAATTACAAGCTTTTGACATTACACCCAGGATTTTACCCAGCACCTCATGGAGAATAGTGAGTTTACTTTACCAACTGAACTATATCCGGAACCAAACACTTATTCACTAAAGAATCAGTATTTGAAAAATATACGTTTTGGGCTGCTGAGGTGACTCAGCAGTTAGAAGCGCCGACTGCTCTTCCAGAGGACCCGGAATCAATTCTCAGCACCCACATGGCAGTTCACAACTGTCTGTATCTCCAGTTCCAAGGAATCCAATACCCTCATAGAGACACACAAGCAGGCAAAACACCAAGGCACATAAAATAAATAATTAAAAAAATCTGGAAAGCTGGCATTACCTACTGAACTCTTTTAATGCTAAAATCAGATAACAGAACCAAGTACCACAGACATTGAGTTTTGTTCTAATAACTATGAAACTAGTTTCATGCCAATATAGAAACTTAATTTCAAGGTAGTTCTAAATTAAAACTTCAATTTGTTACTGGTTGGCCTGGACAAAGAAATCAATCATTCTACAACACCAATTTGAAGCTTATCAACTTTGTTTTCAAAATACACTGTTATTCAATGTTTTCATCTAATTATAACTGTACTACTTAAATGAAACAATTAAAATAATACTTTCCCTGCCCAATCCCATTCACTAAATACAAGTACTGATGTTTTGACAAAGTTTAAGAATCTCAACTACTTCATCTTCAACTTAATCTAATGGTGAATAATGGGGGGGAGAGAACAGATGTTAATACCGGAGAAGAAGCAAAATTTACCCTCTAGGCTAAAAGCTAAGGAAAGATCATAGAGGCCTGGGTGTACATAGCCAAACCTTACTTTAAAAAAAAAAGTTTCTTCATTTTCTACAAAAATCATTATTAGATTTACTATTTCAAAACTTTCAAAAACTGATGAACTTTTGAAGTTATTGTTAAACCCAGATGGGCTGTCCACACAATCTATTTTGGCAACCAGAACCTATTCAGCAAAGTAATAATCCTCAAAAAGAATGCTACGCATAGTGCCGAAAGATAAAATTAACATGGTATTTTAGCAAAGAGGTTCTAATCAAAGGTACACTTTTAATGATGTACTGGCCCTTCAAAACTAAAGTCACACTGGAACCAGAGCTCAGCAGTCAAAGAGTGATACCTGTTCTTACAGAGAACCCGGAGTGTGGGCAGGAGGCTCACACCACCTGGAACTCCAGTTCCAAAGAGTCTGACCTCCGAGGGCACCCACACGTGTTGAAGACATACTAATAGACACACATACAGAAATAAAAATACTTTAAAATAATAAACTTTCACGCTAGCCACAAACCCTCTAGAAGAATGTTCATCTTCAAAAGTCCCCACATTTCTTGGATTTAAAAAAAAAAATGTATCTTAACTTCCTGTCCTGTAGATCAAAAATCACCATGAACATACTCAAATATGTTCCATTCAGTTCAGAATCGTGTTAAGTTTCTAGGTTTATGGCTCCATTCCCATTTATCTTGCACTAATATAAACCACTAAATATAGTTCTAAATCTCAAACATTAATGATTAGTAGCTAATTATATAAGTGACTCATACCTCTTATGTCCAGACACCCAAGATCCTAGGACGCTTCTGTCAGTCCTAAGGGAAAAGGAAACAATAAACACCTGTCACAAAAGCTTTCCAAATTGGGAAGCCCCGAACAGTTACTGTCAATCCCCAGTGCTATTCCTTCCCTCCCTCCCTACTCCACACCTCCTCCCCACCATAAAAGATACCATTCAGACCACAGCCTGTCTGTGTGAAGAGCAGACCACAAACTACTAGCGGAAAGGGCTCCGAGTCTTTCTAGTCCTCACGGTACGGCTGGCTCTTAACAATCTCGAGCGCTGACACCTCATTACGTCCGAAGTCACTTTTCCTTTCTGGGCCTCGGCTAGCTATGTGTGCTGATACCCATAGGAACCTACTCTGTGGCCAGGGCCAAACTTGGACTCGTCGGCACCAGCATGAACCCGACAGGGGCCCTGCCCACCCCGTCAGGGGCCCTGCCCACCCTCTTCCCCGGGGCACATCACCTTCTAGACTTTCTCGAGCGGCTGTCCCGTCAGCCCGGGCCGCACGCAGCGGATGCAACTCCAGGCCTCCACAGCCAGTCAGCCACACGTGGTCCCAGACAGTGCCGGGTCCCGTCGCCCTCTCCCCGTCACACACACCTTCCCTGAGAGGTGATGTCCAAGTCGGGCCGTGGAAAGAGCCACCTGGTACCCGCCACCCGGGGCGACGCAGCTCGCTTCTCCAGCCTCCCCCATCACCTCGGCCGCCCGTCCCACACCCCGCTCACCCAATCACTCACCAGCCGCGCCGCCGTGCTGACTCCTCGGCGGCCTCCCGGCCCGGGCAGCCAAAAGGCCGCAGGGGGC